GTTCTGGGCCTACCCCTGCCTCGCTTGCCCTCAATTGAGGGCACAGTCTAGATAGGATATTAAAATGCGAGTCTATGGCACAATCTTTAAAGCCCTGTTCACGCTTCCTACTAATATCTTCTATCAGGGTATAGTTCGCACAATAAGAATATAATGTTATGACATTTCATAACATTATGTCCATTAAGCCACCGATTTAAAAAAACCCATCAGGTTAAGAACCGATGTAATTGATACTGTAGAAGCGCAAACACTCAGAATTCAATTTTAAAGGGGAAAAAATAGTATTGAGGTTTAACACCTTCATCGACGTAATTTAGATCATTTAGGAGGCGGGCTACTTCCATCCTGCCTGTCAGGGCTAATGCAGACTGAGAATGATACATTAATGTCCCAGCAGAAAGACTGAGATACTCGCTAAAAATTCTATTTGCACAGGAATAGAAATCGGGTTTTCTGCGTGTGATGATGAAGGGCCAAACCGTTACACCACAGACGCCAATATAAGTTCAGCCTCGAAAAGGAATCAAAATTGTATATGGGGATAACAAACCCAAGACGCACTTCTCGGGCAGAGTATAATATAAATTATAGTGGTGTCGGTAGTCTAGTGGTTAGGCTACTGGACCCATAATCGTAAGGTTGCGGGCTCGAAGGTTCAAGGCTCAGCTTGACTCGACGTCGTGTCCTTACAAAGGTCACTTTACACGAATTTTCCAGTTTGGCTCAGTCATAAAGGAGACGGTCGCTAAATTCAGAGGTCCTTTACCTCCTAAATAATCTTACTGTGTTGCAAGGGATGTTGAACCTAAACATTTTTTTCGGGCTATCTAGACACTTTCTTCTTTTTTGTTAGTTTTAGTTTTAGTAGAGATTTTACGGCGCTCGCAACTGCATAAGATCAAATGAGCGCCAGAAGATTAGAAGTGCTACGAGAGAGTAACAAACACAAAAAATAAGGAGGGGAGATAAAGACGACAGACGTTGATAGGAAAAAAGAAGCACACCACACCAGAGCACCCGCCAACCACCGTTACCAAAAAGAAAAGCCAGTAAAACAGGGAAAAAGAGTGTACCTTGCAACTTTTTATCTAAGCAAAACTAGAGCCAGTATTCCACTCCTGAAAAATGTCCAGTTTCCAGAAAAATACCAACAGAAGCATAGCAATAACAACATCAACAAAAACAACAACAAAAACAGCAACAACAGCAGCAGCAGCTAAACAAGAACAACGACAACAGCAACATAGCACCACCAGCAACAACAACAATAACAGCAGCAACAGCAGCGACAGCAGCAACAGCAGCAGCAGCAGGAGAGGCGGCAGTGACATCAATGACAACAGCTCCATAGCCATTTCGGGTTTCCTCTGTGAACCACTGCAGCTCGTTGACTGACACAGACAGGCCAAAAGTCTTCGCCAGGAAATTGGATTATTCTTGCCAAACAAGCAGGCCGTCATAAAACATTCCTCCCTTGCCCCTGATCAGTGAGACAAATATTGCAATAATACACGTAGACCCTATACTATAGGCTTCATAATAGAGGTACGGTACCGCAGACTTTACATTAAAGGTACCGCAGACATTATATCCTGTGCACACTACCAATAGGATTCATCCGATTGATCAGGGGCCACTAAGATTTTTCCTCCATGGAGGGGGCAAAAGATACTATGTACTTTGGCACAATACAAATGATTCGACTCACGGCCTTGAAAAGCAAACATGTCTTTAATTTTGAAGGCCAGACTCTAATTCAGTTAAATTAGTAGTATTGTGCCAAAATGGTAGCTTTTGTCCCATTCATGAAAGAAAATTTGCTAGCTCCTACTCGATCAAACGAATCCGACTAGCAGTGTACATTGGATATTTATGACATTAGAGGTGTTGCGCCACCCCTGACCGTCCCCAGGCGTCCTGCTTTAACCAATAATGTGTAAATGACGCCTTTCAAGAGCAGTCGGCTGCCCCAAGCCAGAACGACGTATCTGACAAAATAGAGGATTTTGTTTGTTTGTTTGCTGGTTGGCTTTTTTAAAAGATTGATTTGTTACCCATAAGACTTGCCCATACTCTTCATGTGCCAAAAGCAGGAAGAGACGTCTACATACAGAATATGAGTTTTCAAGCTACGTATAAGTGACTGACTTCAATAAAAAACGTCAAGAGTAATTCTCCGCGGTTTTTTTCTCAAGATCATGAAATAATATGCACCCTTCTTGCAATGAGCCACGGAGAAAGTGTCCCTTAAAGCATAATATTATCTTAGAAAACGTGATATGCTTGCTTGTGACTGACAGGTTCAAGAGTGTCAACGATAGGAGAAAGGTAAAGGAATAATGAGCCACGTCTCCTCCGACTGCTGTTATAGTGGGCTTAATAGACAGACCGAAGCAGTTGATAATAATAATAATATAATTGGTTACGTGCACAGGGGCTGTGGCTAGACCACATTCTCTCTCTCTCTCTCTCTCTCTCTCTCTCTCTCTCTCTCTCTCTCTCTCTCTTTCTCTCTCTCTCTCTCTCCTCTCGTAACACAAATAAAAATCTACAACTCAGTAAACTAAACGAAGAGAACACTATCTGACTTTTACAGTACACCAGTTTATTAGTGTTAAAATTGATCAAAGCAAAAATATAAAAAGTCGCAGTGACAAAATCTGTATGTTAAACAAATTATTATCCCTGGGACTGGAATAATCCGTCTGTACCTTTAAGATAGTAAGGTATCATCATAAAATGTATGGACATCATGACAATCATATTTATTGAATTTAAATTTCTGAAAGAACCTTCAGAAAAGTGCAAAAGGACATAGGTGCTCACAGAGAAACACAAGGAGACAGAAATTTGGAAATTTAGAAAAAGAAAAAATAAACAACAGGGGGTGGGTGGCGTGAAGCACTTTAGACATGTACAGTAAAAGTTACCTTTTCAAAAATGAAACGACTGGCAAACTACAGAAGAACACGTTTGAGTTTAAGTAAAGGCACACACATCGCTACTTAATAACAATCATTTAGTGAAAGTCCAAGGAAAAAGTAAAATGGACGGAGAGCAAAAAAAGAGGGAAATTAAAGAAGTAGAGCCTATCAGTGTCCAACATAAAAGACCAAAAGAAGCTTGAAAGGTACATATAAGTATAAGGACAAGAAAAGACAAACAGTTAAATAAGTGACTCATGTCACGGTCGTCAGTAATAACTAGCAATACAACATATTATACTTAAAACAAAATCCCAGTCAACACATTTAACCCTTTCCTGGTTGTCGTTTTTTACCTGTCAAAAACTGGACGGACGTGCGGCACCTTTCTCTGATGGAATTCCTCAATGGTAAGCTTGGCTAGGGTAAAAGTTGATCAACTGATATTAAGCCGTAGCTTTGGGTTAATTTCTAGATTTACATTATATTACAAGTCTGTCCTAAAGCACTTAGAAGGCAGTATTGGCAAACCCCTGAGTAGGGAGCCTCAAAACTCTACAGGAACCTGGAAGACTTGCGGCAAAAGCAGCCTTCGCACTAGAGACTAGGCTGATCATTCATAGATGAAAGAGAAAAAGACAAAGTTTTCTAGAGGAGGAGGTGTGTCGGAGTCAGCGTCAGTCTTTACTTTTACTTCCCCAAAGTGTAAAGGAATGTGAACTCCAGGAGGCTGCCCCATGTACTGTGCAGATAACTTAACAAATGGGCCAACATTGCTGGAAAAGTATAAGAACAGGAAAGGATTAAGAATACACAGAGGTTATACAAATGTCAAATTGGCTAAGATTGCATGATAACATTGACACTTTGCGTTTATAAAAGGTTAACAATAAATTTATTATATTGCAGATCTAAAAAAGCTGCTCAAATTAATTGTAAAAGGACGGACTCTTGTTAATTAGGAATGTCTCTGAAAGAAAATGCAATACGGTATCACAAAACTAAAAATAAAAGCTTATGTTAACATAAATAGTCAGGCCAGCTGACACAAAAAATAAATATTTGCCAAAAAGACACTCGAATTAAAAAGTTTCAAAAGCATTATAACATAGAGTCGAATCTGCTCTTACAGCTAACTGCCCATGACAATCACCCACACAAAGACAATCCTACCTGCCCACTAGTGGGGGTGGTTTTTTTCTTCAATATTTTAATGATATAGTCCAAAAGGACCATCTGTCTTAGATGACCACTATTTTACTTGACAGTGGGTGGTTGTCTTGAAAAGGTTAGACTGTAATTGCAAAAAAAGACACTCGTCCGATTAAAAAATCAAAAACTCTCAAAATCATAGTAAAATAATAGGAACAGATACAAGTGTATGTTTAGATTTTCAAGAAATGGTTTGATTATCACAGAAAAAGCTTATTGTCATTTTACAGAAGTTACCTGAAACACTGTTGCTTTTGATTATACAAAGGAAATATAACAATAATTTTTTTTCTCACATGACAACAAACATAAATTGTAAAGCACAAGGAAAAATGTTCCTCATTTTCTTCTGCTATCTTAACGACCAGCACTTGGTAAGCAAGGCATAATAAGCATTCAGTAAAGAAGGAATGTGGGTATGACAGAAGTGTGTCCTTAATAGGTTGTAACACTGTATGTCCCTCCGCAACTGAGATGGAAAGAACTAGCTGGCAAAAGAAGTTATTGTGAAATCTGCAAACTTTCTGTCAGAGATGGTAAACTAGAAATAAGAGCTTTATTTTCACAACCAAAAGAAAGTTTGAGATTATATCCTCTTTTCACACACCAGATTGTATCTGCTATAGATCATCACATAATTAACAGGTCTCTGTCACATGAAAACCATAGAGCAATCTCCCATTCTGGCATAAAAAGAATTACAAAAAACATTGACAAAGTACGTTACATGCTCCCTCATCATTTAAACTCTAATCTTCCATTGTTTAAAAGCCTTATTTTTAACCATTATAATCATGGAATATTCATTGCACATTAGGAAAATCCACAGAAGTGAGAAGCAAACATTCTTCCAAAGTTAAATCGGTGTCTTTGGAACAACTTGAATTACAAGCCAAACTTCAGCAAAAATATCTAAATACTCTTACAGATAACATAAATAAAAGCTCTGTTTTCACGTCTACAAAAGGTACTATGGTCATTATTTAAACAAAATTTAAGCTTCCCCTGAACTTACAAGGTGTCACAGTGACTATGACCATCTTATCACTAATACACTTCACACTTGCACAAAAATATCTCACCCCTTCATGACATACGCTTTTTTTAGTCTATACAGTGCTCAATTTTTACTGTCAGGACTGAGAGGTTTCAGTCATTTTGAAACCTCTTCGTGATCAAAGATTTGTGGTTCATACATTTTCGCTGTGGAAAATTCCAATCTTTCTTCAGTTTTCCAGCAAACTCCATTCAAAGATGTTATAGTGCGGTTATAAAATCCCATATTGTGCATGTCTTGCGGTCCTCACAATTGCTAAAATTGGTTGATTTTAGGACATACATTGTACAAGACAACATCATCTTGGCTCATGGTGGCCAAGGTACCATCTACGAGAGCTGTCACGAAGGAGCTATAGGCAGGTAAAGCTGAAGCTACTAGTCCTGAGGCACAGATAAGAGTATGCCGAAAAGGCCATGAACTGATATCCCATTTTAAATAGGATAAGAACTAAAATAAAAATTTATATGATGATCATCTGTATCACTATGTAAATAGTGTCTGCACAACTCAGGTCACATACTTGTAGCTGAAAACCTATAAGATTTAAAACAAAAGTGGCCTCACAAATAAATCCTAAAATCTTATACCTAGATGTTCCATTTTGTCAATACAGATAACAGGAGAACGATATATGTCAACTGAGTGAAAGAAAAAAACTGGGTAATATTTTGATTTATTTTTAAATGCTGATTTGGTCAAAGTTTACTACACATACAGATTTGTCTCATAACTTGTACACTTTTATTATTCAATAAACTAGATTCTAATTTCAACTTAAAAAAGACTTTCACACGGAACACTTATTTTTTTCTATTACCAAATTGGGACAAATTATGTAAGCTTGTTTGAATAGAAACAAGAAAATACACAAGTAATGAGTGTTAGTAATACATTTTAAGTATCTTGTTGAGGCAGTAACAACCCTTGGAGATGGATCACATGTGTTTCATTGATCCTCCGCGAGGAGATTTGGACCGGCTTTCTCTCATCTTTGAAACTCTCTCTTTCATCTGAGCAAGCTGTCTCTCTCTCTCATCCTGGAGAAAAAAAGAGCAAATTAATATGACCACAATTGCAAGAAATTATCTAATTTTGTTTATCTAATTTAAAGAGAGGCTCATAGACTATATGTGTCACAACGCGGTGGAATCAGGCACTCGTCAATTTTGGGGCATACAGAGTTATTGGTATTGTCTTAAAGCCTATCCATTTGCCTTTCTCGTGATGAAAAAAAATATCCATTTATCTTGGATACAAGTCAAGATATTGGCGATTGAAGGTGGTGGGGGTCATCTTGTTTCAGAAGTAAAATTAGCGAGAAAATGGGCGCCAAAGTTGAGTTGTTTCCTTAGTTGAGAGTCCATGGAAACTGAAAATGTACTTCTTTTATGCCTTAAATCAACGTTTTTCAGTGTAATCCGCACCAAAATGTGTTCTTTAATGGGCAGGAAAGGTGTTGAACTAAAACACAAAAATTCAATTAAAATTCCCAAACCTGCGGAAAAATGCCAGTTTCTTGACTTTCATTATTTTAACGAGTGCCTGATTTCCCCACATTGCCTCACATAAGAATAATAATCAGGTACTTAGGCCTATAATGGAGGATACTACAGAATCAAGAGTGGAAGATATTACCATAAATCACTGATACCATTAAAGTCACGGCAGTTTTAAATTCATATACATATCACAAGAATGAAGCAGAAAGATGAATTAAGAAGGTTACAACTTTTCTTTGAATTTCTCTGACTGTTTATTTCACTTAAGCTTCCTAATTAAAGAAGGGTCAAGTTATTTAAGTTTGAGTAAAAATAAGCACATTGACATGATAAGCATCCTGTAGTGTACTGGTTTGAATTCTTGATTACACATTCTGAAACTTGGGTTGTTTGGGGGATTTTTCAAAGCTTTGAAACCACTTGGTAGGGTACTGTGGGTGGTGGACATTGAAATCTAAAGTCCCATCCTTTAAAAAATATTACAACATTGAAAGGAAGGTGTGTTGAACTTATACAAAATCCAATTTCGATTTTTGGAGAAAAAAAAAATGGAATAGCAAGTGTAAATGTGGACATTGAAATCTAAAGTCCCACCCTTTAAAAAATATCACAACATTGAAAGGAAGGTGTGTTGAGCTTATACACAATCCAATTTCGATTTAAAAAAAAAAAAATGGAATAGTAAGTGTAAATGTTTTATGCCCCCATCGACACAATTTTGGACATTTAGGAGACAAGTTTCTTCAACCCTGCAACATATTCTCCTTTAACAAACAAGAAAAAACTTACCCTCTGGGATTGCTGAAGTACTGTCTTTTGCCTCTCACCCAAACTGTAGAGAGCTGCGGCTTCATTCTCACGTTTGCTGCTTCTGAGCTCCAATTTCCGTTTAAGCTAAAAGGAAGAAAAACACCCAAAAAATCATCCCACCTCATCTGAACTACAGAAGAAAAATTTTTAATAGAACATCCATTGAGATTGAAACTTCTAGAACATTTCATAAAACAACATTTCTGCCATGCTGAATCCACCATTTCCTAACAATGTACGAGTATGTCGAGTGGTGAGTAAAAGTTGTCACACTTTATTTTTCTAATGCATATTGTTCAACTCATTGATTTAAAAAAGGGCAATACAAATGCAATTGAACATTATTATTATTTTTACTGATGTATATGACAGACTAGTAGCAGAAATATTTGAGGGACATAAGTGCTAAAGTAAATATATTAGGAAATCATGAATTTGTGAAAGTAATTAAATAAATCACCTCACACGAAAGGTTATAATTTCTTTACCAAAGTCTCCTTTTTTCTAATCCCTCTTTTAATGTTTTCTCCTTTTCTTTATTTTCCTCTTTACATTTCCTTCTCTCTTAATAAGTCATATCTGCCATGCTGAATTATTCAACCTTCACAATGACAACTTCAAACAAATTCATGCTGTTATGTGTAGTAGTTGCCTTTATCTGCTTGAGCTAGTGAAAATGGATCATATCTGTAAACAAAGTGTAGAATTGACCCTATCCATACGTTGCGTTTTACTATCGTATCCATATGACGTGGGGCACTCTGTGGCATCACTTTCCAAAGAATAGATTTACTCGTTAATCCGATCTGTACGCTTTGCAGAGCAGTCTGTCAAAATGATTTTTTGAGAAATACAGAAAGTTTCAAAGAGATCTTCGTACTAGAAGTATTCTAAAATGTGAAGAATACAACCCCGGGGGTACAAAATGACCCCAGGGCCTACGGATAGGGTTAAGAAAGAGATAAACAAATAAATCAACAGAAGATCCTCACCAGTTCCTCCTGTCGAGACTGCTCTGCAAAGATCTGCTGCTGTCTCTTGAGGCCTTGTTGGACCACCTGGTCGTACATCTCCTGTTTCTGCTCGTCACTGACCCTCACGTCCACCACCGTCTTCTCACGGGTCAGGGAAAATGTTGGTGTCTGAAACAACGAGGTAAACTCATATACAACATGGACTGGTAGGTTGGGATATGGTAAAATAACATGATGCGCCCAAAGACATTCTAAAGAATCGCTGGCCTGACACCATAAGAAATGAACAGCTATAGGAGCAACCAAATCAACATGAAACAGATATTGAAATCAGTAACAGAAAATAAAAGTGGATTGGACACACCTTCAGAAAACTGAATACAGATATTACCCACAAAGATTTAAGGTAAAATCCACACAGAAAGAGAAAGACAGGAAGACCTAAAAGCACCTGGAGGAGGGACTTGTCTTTAGAGCTAAAACAGATGAGATATAGTTGGACAGTGGTGGAGGCTATATCCAAAGGCAGAAGTAGATAGAGAACTCTTGTTTCTTGGCCTTTTCTACAACATGGGGTGAGAAAGGACAATGGCCAAAGACATGAGGACAGAAAGTGTCTTTTACACTGGGGACATTACACTTGTGCACTTTACATGAATGGAATGCATAATATTTTTTTTTAAAATGTTTACAGTTGCCTACTTCATCTCAAAGAAGCAGCCAAGGTGGCCTTCAAATGAGTTTTGGCAAAGAATTTTAGGCCTAAGATGACAGTCTAAGTAAAATTCTTTACGTAAACACAGGCAAGGCATATCATGATTTTTGGCCAGTATATGCACACAAGGATGTTGATTTTGTGTAAGGAAAAAGCAAGAGAAACAGACTCCAATAACACATGGAAAAGAAAAGAAGTAGGACCAAACAGTGACCATTACTCTACTGCAGCATGTACAAAAAGAGATAGTTATAAAGACAAACCTCCCCTACATATCTAATAATACAAGAAGAAGGAAAAAGTGAAAGTTAACAAAGACAGACCTCCCATCGACATCCAATGATACAAGAGGAAGGACAGAAGTGACAGTAAGTAAAGACAGACCTGTCTAGGGGAGCGACTCCTGTCACTGGCCTGTCCCATCAAGGACGACTCCCGAGACATGGGGCTGTCCAGAGTGTCCGCTGCTTCCTCCGCCGCTTGACGTCGGGCTTCTCGCCGGGCCTGTAGTTTTTGCTGTAGCTGAAGGTTGAAGAAAATACCATGACTTCTAAGTGATTTCACATAAACTCCAATCTTCGCGCAAATTATATAAGCTATTTGGGTTGCAAGTGCCATGAAACTCTTACTGAAAATAAAACATAACATTTTTTTAATGGGTGAACAAAATACGGCCCATGAGTCAAATGCAGCCCTTCAGTCATAGAGTTTGACATGGCCCATAAAATCATTTGGAAATTTTGTATACTTATGGAAACAAAAAACTTTCACAAAAATGATCACATTTGTCAAAATACTAGAGCCACAACTCATTTCCATAGTGAAATTCAAGGAAAATAAAAATTTGTTCACTGAATTTTCAAAAATCCTTATCAGTTAAAAAAAAAAACCCCGTTAATATTTTGTATTTTCTCTTTATTATAAAAAAAAGGTTACCTTGCGCACTATGAGCAGTCTCAAAAGATTAAGCCTGTTGCAGTTTATAGCCATGTCGAAATGGTCTCCAATCCAAAAAGTTTGTCTACCTCTACTCTACAACATACAAAAGTACAGCAGGGCTCCCCCGTCTCCTCTCTTTCCTTTCTCATTTGTCACTAAGATTCCTACAATATAAACTATAGGCCTAATCATCTGAGAATTTTGCACGTAAAATACATATAATATTGATCACAGTGATTGCCTGAGAAAACTGTTGACAATTCCTTTAAAACCCTTAAACATAACCTAAACTATTTCTAAAATACACTCATAGATAATTGTACATTGATAATACCAATAAACCAGACATTAAAACTGAATTATTCTGCACAATTAATCAAAGTTAAGCTCCTTTCTTACCAAGTTGTCTTGCTTTCCTCTCTGCCCTTCTCTTGCCAGTTTGGCAGCAGAATCATTGGCCTGCGTGGCTGCAACAATCTGGCCAACCATGGCTGCGGCATTCCATTCTTTGTCCTCGTTGGACTGTTTCTTCAGAGCCAATCTCTGCTTGAACATCTCTCGCTGTCTCTGTAGATCAGAGCTGAGTGCCTGGCAAAAAGAAATACATCCCCATTCATTACAATAATTAATTTTAGTAGTAAGAGTTTTACGGCACTCGCAACACAATAAGGTCATATAAGTGCCGAATATTAGAGGTGTTACAAGAGAGTAACAAACACAAAAAAGAAAGGAGGGTAGCTAAAGATGATAGATGTTTGATAGGAAAGAAGAAGCAATAATTGCTTGGGAAAACTGTCAGTGAGAAACTGATTCACAACATAAAATATAAAAATGGCATATTATGCATGCTATACATCAGGGGACGCCAAAAAAATAAAATTGTTGTCATAGCTTTCAGAAAAGTTGTGCATAAGAAATGAGAATCAGTAAAGAATAAGAATTATTCAGGATTCGATGCAAATTGAAAAAAGTATTCTTTATTAAAGTAACAGAACTTTAACATTTCACAAGTTTGTAAAAGACACAATCATACTAGACAGAACAAATAAGACATCCCAACCTGCCACTTAGACACACACAAAACAAATAGGCCTGACATAAACACCTCAACAGAAAACATTTTCATTCTTTACTGGAGAAAACATTTAGCCAAGTCTGATACAATATATATTTTTGTCAAAGCTGACATCACTATTCTACAGACATTTCTTTTAACATATGTGTCAAAACGTGGTGTAATCAGACGCTCGTCCATTTGTGGCCATGTGGAATTGTTGATACCATCTGAAAGCTTATTCATTTGCCTTGCTTTCGGTGAAAAAAAAATCCATCTAGCTTGAATAGAAGTCGAGATATTTGTGATTGAAGAAGGGTGGGTGGCCTGGTTTCAGTAGTTAAATTAAGGAGAAAATGGCCGCCGAAGTTTGGTAACTTCAACAGCTTAAGAGTCCTTGAAAACTTGAAAATTACATGTTTTGTATCATTAAACAAGGTTTTTGAGTAAAATTCACATGGAAATGTGTTTTCATATGAACATAAAAGGCGTTTAGCCGAAAAACAAAATTTCTATAGGCCTATAAATTGCCAAACATGTAGAAATGCCTTTTTCTTCAATTTCATTAATTTGACGAGCGCCTGATTTTACCATGATGTCTCACATATTATAGTAACTTTATATGACACACTTCTAGGGAGGTGATTATTACCTGTTTCCTGGAGTTGTACTGATCTTCCAGTTCTTTGAGCATGGCATCAACATCGATAGCCTCTCTCTGACCTGAACACAGTTAGATTACAATGGTGACAGAATGGACTAACAACATAACACAGTACTGGAACAAAAAAACAACAAAAAGCTGTTTGAACAGTCCTACAGATGTTAATAGTTAAATTCAACAATACTGTATTGATTTTTTTTTAATGCAAAAAAGTTTTCAAACATTTACAAGATCAACTTGATATGTAAAGCGGCATAAGGGTTATGCTCTTAAACTGTTAGCAATTAATAATACATACATAGGAACATACATTTATAAGTCCTGATATAAACTTCATGTTCTTTTTTATCCATTTAAGACGTACTTTTTACCTTGAACTAGACCATATTTCATGAGAATCTAAATCAGAGAAAACTTTTTCTGCTTTTCCCTTTCACTCTGGAAGCAGTTTGAACTGATGTGGAACATGCTATATCATTCTTGATGCAAGAAAAATGAGTAACTCTGTTAGACTCTGCTCTACAGGGTGAGTAAAAAGCAATGAAGTTACTCATTTTTCATCTGCCACTCCCTCTTTCCCGCACACAAACTTTCAGTAACATTTATCACTTTTATCCCAATGCATAAACAGCTATACACTCAACAAATCCTAGACACTCTCTTCCCCACCTCCTATCATTCCCTATTCCTATCCCCAACTGCTATCAAAGTGATGAATGACTTATTCAAATTGAGTTCCATCGTCGACATGATAGCAAGAATCAACCATACAAACAACTTTGTAAAATATTTGAATAAAGGCAAGGAGCACAACTTTAACACAAACGACAAAACTCACACAAAACAAAGAAAAAAAAACAAGCATTAATTGATTACTTCAACAAAGAAAAACAATGATGAAAAAAAATATAAAAAATCAATGGAACTGTTTGTACCACACTGTCTCTGTGTCTCTTCTGACTTCATTCATTTAAAAAAAAAAAAAAAATTAGTCTAAGGAAAGCTTGGAAATTGTCATTATGTTGAACTTTAATTTGAGCATAAAAACCCCCCAACAAAACACACAACAAATTCCTTCCTGGGAGACAAACTGAGAAAGAGCTTCGTTTTTTATTAACAACAGCAGCACATAAGAAGCCTATTCTCAATGCCACTTAGTTATACAACATGAAACAAACAGACAAGAGGAATCCTCTTTTCTTGTTTTTCTCCACACGTATTTTTCTCTCTTGTTCACTCTTTCTTTTCCTACTTCCTTTCTCTTTCCCTTTTGTTTTCATTTTCTCTCTCTCTCTCGCTCTCTCTCTCTCTCTCTCTCTATCTCTCTCTCTCTCTCTCTCTCTCTCTCTCTCTCTCTCTCTCTCTCTCTCCCTCTCTCTTTCTCTCCCTCCCTCTCTCTTTCTCTCCCTCCCTCCCTCTCTCTTTCTCTCTCTCTCTCTTCAAGTACAGCTTTTTTCTCTCTTCAAGTACAGCTTTTTTGTATTGCATTTTTGTGGTTCTCTCTTTCAATTATCTCCGACGCCTGCTGTCCCTTTCAATTACACACATTCACATACATACACATAGACAAACACACACACACACACACACAAAAAAACATAGGCACACACTCACACACACACACACACACACACACACAAACACACACACACACACACACAATCACACACACACACACAGACAGACACTACAAGAACAGCTACTCTCATTTTGATACCATTCTCATTTAACATGAGGAAAACAATTGGGGGTTGTTTTTTTTCAGAAGGTTTGTTTCTTTGTAAAAAAACTAAATACGTCAGACTGCTGTACTGGAAGCAGATTTTTTATGTGAGCCATAAAATAACCATTGCAAAAGGGTTAGTCATTAGATAAAAAAAAAAAAGAGATGCACCAGTGAATGGTGCCATACATTAGGAACTCAACTTGGACTATCTAAATCGCATGCATATGTTCTCCAAGAACATAATATATTTGATGTATATAGGTGAGCTTATCAGTGGTTCTTAACCTTGTTGGAGGTACCGAACCCTGCAAGTTTCAATCATGCAGTCACAGAACCCTTAGATTGGGGTGAACAGAATAGCCACACACAAACACATAAGCATGCTATTGCTAAATCCCTGAGACTGACTCACTTCATCACTGGGGTTCGATCGAATTCTGGTTAAGAATCACAGGTTTAGGACAGTCTAAAAAATGTCGAGGCATGCTTTATACTCCAATACATATTTATGGTGAATACTAAATTATGTGATCATTACATTTATATGAAAGTTGAAAAGCTCAAATCCACTCTCAAACTGTCTGACAATACAAGAGTTGTCAGGAAGGAGAAGAGAAAACAAATATCTAATATGGTGCACAATACTTCTCATTTCTAAAAAAAATTGTTAAATTAAACTCGACAGAGGAGGCTACCAAGCATTTTCTTAATTATGCCTAGTGCTCACCAAAACCTTTCTGTGAGTAAAAAAAATAAGTTGTGTTAAACCATACAAACAAAAAAATCACACAGCACAAAACAAAATTTTTCAACACGCATTATCAGTCCATCAAAAGTGTTGGCACTCATCATGCTAAAGCATGCAAAGATTTCTTTACCTGCTTTTCGGGTGAAACCTCCTAGAGAAAATAATTCACAGGCAATACATACCAATATGAGAAGAAATGTGATGTTAACTGTTACATAGTAGAGTCATCACAGCAACAGATAGATTTCCTACATAACTCTCTATAAATGAAAACTGAAAATGTGCAATTTTTTTTTTCACAAAGACCTAAATGGTCAGCTTTGGTACATTAATAGTGTGTGCCAGGAGACCAAAGTGCTACAATGAGAAAAGTGTATGCCATAGGAACAAATTCTCATTTTTTTTATCACCAACAAAATATTGTGTTCCACAGTTTGCTGAGTGACACAAACTCTTTCAGTATTTGTTAGTGCAGACATCTTGAGTATCATACTGTCATGGCTAAAACCAAAGATAGTGAATAACAAGATGGGCCACTCAGCCAAAAAAGTGTCCGCAGGAAGTATGCTCTTTGCTTCAGATGGCGCTGCAGTCTGTTTTGAAGCTCTCTTTCGTTTTTCCAGAAGAAGAATAGGAATAGCACCTCCTTGCGTGCGCAGATCGACTGCTGTTCATCAGCAGTTCGGGTACGTTCAGTGCGCAGTTTTAGGGTTTTTTTTATTTTAATGACCTCTCGCCTTTCACTCTAAAGTCAAATTAAACGAAGAAAACCATCACCCTTTCCTCCGGAAGAGGTCTTTTGTCAGCGTAACCATTTTAAAAAAGCGTTCTTCCGAAATTTATCCCAAAACTTGCTAGTTTCACTTTGATTTTTTAAAACTCAAGTAGGGTAACTCTGTTCGCAAAGAGTGCGCTTTTGTGAAGAGGGCGCCACCAAATTTTGAGGACACTTTTTTAATTGGCTCAATGAGAGAAGTGGCCCATCTTGTTATGTACTATCTTTGCTAAAACTTATGAGGTTCGGTCAACAAAAAACTTCAAGTGTTCATGTGAACATATCAGGGCGGGAAAAAAAAGTTTAAAACTTCCGATACAGTAGGAATGTGTGACTGGTATATATGTGTCTCAGGTGCAGGAATGTGTTTAACTAAAAACCTGACGTTAACAAACAATGTAAACAGGAGAGGTGTTAAAACAGCAGACTTGAGCATGTTTTATCTTATCTTTCACAAGCTTGCTCTACTCTGGCGTTGACAAGATGACAAGGACATGTGGTTACTTGAGGGAGGAATTGCGCTGCCAAGAGCGAAATGCTCGTAGCTAAAGGGATTTGAAAACAACAACAACAACAACATCTTATCTTTCACACACCCAATGTAAATCTAAGGGTTTTCCACCAGGTGCTCCAGTTCACAAGTCCAGTGGTTGTTGTTGTTATTGTTGTTGTTGTTGTTGTTATTGTTGTTGTTGTTGTTGTTGTTGTTAATCCAGTAGCCTTAACAAGTATGGCAGGTTAAGCAAGGACTGGGTTCAAAAGTTAAAGGGGGAATAAGTCAAAGGACTTACAAGTCCAGTGGTTGTTGTTGTTGTTGTTGTTGTCATTGTTGTTGTTGTTGTTGTCGTTATTGTTGTTGTCGTTGTTGTTAATCCAAAAGTCTTAACAAGTATGGCAGGTTAAGCAAGGACTGGGCTCAAAAAGTTAAAGGGGGAATAACTATAAAGACAAAAATATTCATGCATTATGATTCTGACGTTTCAAATTTCCTGTCTCACTCAAAATAAGACAGAGCCTGAATGAAAAACTTCCTTACCTCTCTCCAGCAGTTCTTTCTTTTGCTGCTCAAATTCCTCCATGAGTTTCTTCTCCATGTCTTCCTCGGTGTGAAGTTCTCCCATCATTAGAGACACAGAGAACAAAGTCGAGGCTAAGGTTTTGTACCAGCCCTCACTGTTCACAGCTCTCTGCATTTTGCGCATTTCTTTCAACTGGTCTTCAGCCTTGAGAGAAGAACGAAAAAAATATTGCCTCCCTCCATACGTGATACAGTATATTTAGCAAATATGACTGTTTCCGGTTACCAATGTCATAAAACCTTCCAATTCTATCAATAACTGCTGACTCGTTTTTCTCTTTCCTTTCTAAACAGTTAATCCCAAATACCTTTGGGTTATCTGGCATCACATCCATCTCACTTTTTACTACCCTTGCTTGCAACTTATTTTTTAAAATCTGAACAATTCTATGGAAATTGTTTTTTCAAAAAAGTATTATTTTGAAACGTTTCATTAGTATTCCTTTGTGTTTACAAAGTTCACAATATTCTTCAGATAAACCACAACTCCATAATTGTCTATATTAAGAGAGCTCAAAACATTACCTGATTCTTGATGGAGTCTTGTGTGGACTCAACCTGACGCATCTGTTTCTCCTGAAGGTCAGCGAGTGCACAAATAGACAGCTCGTTGTGAGCCTCAGACTGGGAGATGTCTGGGTGTTGAACCTTCAGCTGTCTCAGCTCCACTGTACCAGGCATGCAAGGGAAGAGATGGGAAAAAATGTGAGGCATCGTGGTGAAATCAGGCGCTCGTCAAAATGAAATTGAAGATACTGGCACTTTTCTGTCTGTTTGGCAATTTTTATCGAATTTTTGTTTTTCGACTCAACACCTTTCATGCCCATTAAAGAACATATTTCTGTTTGTATTTTACTGAAAAACCATGATCATAAAGGCACAAAAAAATGTAAATTTTTAGTTTCCATGAACTCTCAAGCTAAGGAAATAACTCATCTTTGGCGCCATTTTCTCACTAATTTTACCTCTGAAACCAAATGACCTCCACCTCCTTCATTCGTAAATATCTCGGCTTCTATTCGAGAGAAATGGATATTTCTTTTATCCAAAGCAAGACGGATGAACAAGCTTTAAAATGACACCAATAACTCTACATGCCCCAAAATTGACGAGAGCCGGATTCCACCGCGTCGTGACACAAATTGAAACTAACTTGTTTTTACAACAGATGTGTCCCAGAGCAAGGAAACTTGCTTCATGCTTCAAGTCAATAGGTGAATGCTTTGGTTAACCCCATCCGTACGCTCTGGGGTCATTTTGTACCCCCGGGGTTGTATTCTTCACATATTAGAATACTTCTAGTACGAAGATCTCTTTGAAACTTTTAAGAAGTAGAAAATGTCTCGTCAGCAAACAAAAGAGAACATAGGCACTAAAAACACAAAATCATCCATACATCTAAATAGTACTTACATTCAAACTTGTGAGACAAGGCCTGCTCCAAAATGGCAGCTTGTTCTTTCTGCCTCTTCTGGGATTCCATTTGGATTTTCAGTTTCTTTTTAGGAGGCAGGTTTGATAGATTGACGTCTGCAATGCTTTTGGAGACTTTCTTCTCCCACTCAGCATAGTTCTGCTCAAGCTTTAGGAGCTGGAGTTTCACATCCTGAAATGTGTGTGTGTGTGTGTGTGTGTGTGTGTGTGTGTGTGTGTGTTCAGTTGATAAAAAATTAGTTGCATAAAATAAAATTGTTATACTGAAGATTGACAGTAATATGCAGCCAATATATAAAAAGGATAGTGGAAATATGTCACAAAAAAGTTGCAAGATTTCAGAAACAAAAAATCGTTTGAAAAACATCTTGCATAAGCACACACAAAAAAAGAGTTCGTTAGGATGTGTAAAAGTTAATAACAATTTTTGCCAGTTCTCCCCAGTTTTAGAATATACTAAACCTATCCGTACGTCGTGTTCTACTTTCATATCTATACAACGTGGTTGGAAAGAGGAATTTACTCGTTAATCCGATCCGTACGCTTTGCATAGCAGTCTGTCAAAATGATTTTTTTAGAAATACTGAAAGTTTCAAAGAGATCTTCGAACTAGAAGTATTCTAAAATGTGAAGAATACAACCCCGGGGGTACAAAATGACTCCAGGGTGTATGGATAGGGTTAAGTGGGTTTTATTATAGACATTATAGACAAACACAGCCCTGATCACATTAGTGCAAAATTTTCAATTAAAAATGTGATATTTTTTTAAAGTAAAACTCTTGACAAAGTAACATTATTGCCCATGTTGTTTCCCACAAAAAAACCCAACCTAGTAAATGGCTCAAACAGTTAAAGATTTACACTCGTTTTAGATATGAACGGTCACTTCAACCAATTTTGTTGTTTTTTGTTTTTGTAGGAGTTTTACAGTGCTCGCAACAGCATAAGGTCATATGAGTGCGCACTTCAACCAACAATACGACATAGTGAAAGACTTCAGAGCGCCAGTAAGGGTAAGAAGTTAATCTAATTGGTGAGAACTGAAACCGTTCAAATGATCTGGGTTCAAATCTTCATTGAATTGTTTCTGATATAAGGAAAGTTTTTTAAAAAAGATTTGGAGGCTCATCATCCCTTCCTGCTAAAGATGAATATTGTTTCAAAGATGCTTTATCATAATTTACCTTTTATTGTGTTGAAACAAGCCCAAAACAGAAAAGCAAGCCAAAAAATGTATAACTCACCTCATCTGACATTTTAGCAAATTGCTTTCCCTTGTCCTTGTTGTGTTCATACTTTGACACCAAAGTCATCAACATGTCCCGTTCATCTCCTTGATGCTTCTCCATGCCTGCAAGAATACTGTCCTGGAGGAACACAGTCTCTGGAAAAGAAATTAATGTGGTATTTAGTCAACCCAATATGTTGAGATAACATCTGTATTTCTTTATACCTCTACAGTCTGTATGCCTATCTTTGCGGCACAGGCAAGCACAAACTTGACTTATAACGAGAAAGGTGTAGTGACGAAATATTGCTCTCACTTCCACTTCGCTTCAAGCCCAAATGGTTACTCAAGTATTATGCCTTACAAGAAATTATGAAGTCTTTGTTAACAATTACAATAACAATAATATAATGATGTGAACTTATATGGTGCTTATTACCTTCCTAATAACATATTATGAGGATCAAAACAAAGCATACATTGCTTTTTTGAGGCAGCAAAGAATTGGTTCCAAAGAAACTTACCATTAGTGATATCAGAGGATACGCCTGGTTCGTCATCAGTGGCTGGTGTTTTGCCTTTGTTCTTGTCAGCTCGCTGCTTCTTCAGGGCCTCAATCCTGTCTCTGGCTATCTGCCGCTGTCTGTCCCTCTCACTGAGAAGGCTGGAAGGTCAAGCCCAAATATTGACTTTTGTGATCAGGAAGGTGTATTAGCTATCATTACTTTCAGAAAAACATGGTTAAACTTTAGTTTTAGTCTTAGTAAGAGTTTTACAGCACTTGCAACACAGTCAGGTCATATAATTGCCGAAGATTAGAAGTGATACAAGAGAGTAACAAACCCAAAAAAAGAGGAGAGATAAGGAGTCATATCGACAGATTGAAGGGCTAGAACCCAAATGGCCGCTGGATCGGAAAAGTAAAGTAAAGTAAAAGTAAGGAGAGATGAGGACGATGGATGTTTGATAGGAAAGAAGGAGCAAACCCCACCAGGGCACCTGCCAACCATCCGCAGTTAAACTTAAGGGAAAACATGGTTTAACTTACGATAATGAACAACATAGCTGAACTTGAGAAACAATATAATTGAAGACGGGTGTATTTCTAGCAGAATAAATATGTCCTTAGCACTCAATAAATGAAGAAAATATCATCACCCTAGCGATAAAACTTTTTTCACTTTTTAACAATGATCAACACAAAGCAATTTTCTTTCTGATTTGGATCAGCTTTGCTTCCATTACATTAATACAAAACATTTTCCATCATCCATTTCCTTCTGTGGTCGCTCACAACAACAAATCAGTCAACTCTCCTAAAAAGCAAATCTGAACAAACTAAATTTACTATGCAACTGTTTGTACAGATTGACAAGTCAGGCAAACACAATGATACCAATAAAAACAAGATTTTGAGAAATATGCAGAAAAAGAGTACATGATGGAAAATGCAAAATGTCGTGTGAGTTTGTAAAAACGTAACTTTGCAATGCAATAAAATCTTCAAAGGAAATGCAGTCAAAATTGTCCACCATGTCCACCTACTGTCAAGAAAAAAAGTGGTTGTCTGAGACAGGTGGTCCTCTTGGACAGTGTTATTATAATATAGTAAAAATGCAAGGGAGAGAAGAACGAGGTGTTCGTTTGTTTAGGTGGTTGTTTTGGTTAAGTCGTTGTTAGAGCAAATTTGACTATAAAAGCAGTTGCTTTATTTTATCAATATTCCAAAAATTCAAAATGATAGATATTTCTCAAAAATTTAAGTCCAGGAACAATACTTTCCTACTGATGATAGCAAAATTCTCAGATAACCTCCTTGACTCACTTCTGCTCAACAGTTTTATCCGTTTCCTTCCATAAGGCCATTAAGTTCGCAGCTGACTCAAACTTTTCTTCTTGCTTGATTCTCCGCTCCTCACGCTGCAAATATAAAGTGACACATTTTGAAACGGTGAACAGCTACTACATTAAGGAGATAGTCCAGCAAATTCATAAAACAAAGACTTCTTGAAATTATTTTTGCCAAATCTGTCCTTACACGACAAATTTTCTCTTAAAATGCAATGTTATTAGAAACACTAAGTTCTTTCCGTGTGCATAATTGCACATTCTGCTTAGGAATGTTCCTGAAATTGGAAATACAAAGCTCAAAATAAACATTACAAAAAATGCATACAAGTAAAGAAAATCTTACAAATATCAGGACTTTTTTATTTCAAAAGAAAGGAAAACAAGACCATTTTATTTGCCTCTAATGAAAAATTTGGTGCCCAATGGCATTCCATTTTCAACCACGGCATACAGAATACATTAATCAAAAAATCGTTCATGCACTACACAAAATTTCAGACACAAACCACAATTGCAGGTTACCACAGTGGAAAGCCTTTATATGAGTAAGGACTAAAATGTCTCCAAAGAAGAATCAATTGTCAAGGATCCAAAAGCAGTCTTTGCTATGAGGTTTTTCTTGGCATTTGCACATTTCACATACAGAATTCACACACCACTTATCATTGCAGTGCTACCCCTCACCCCAGCTCCTCCACCCCCCTCTCCCGTCCATCCTGAAAATGCCCTTTCAAGCACAAATAATAAATGAAGAAATATTTCACCTTTAACTTAACTGAGGCGAATTGTCTCTCTTTCAATGTCCACTTATCAATCATCGCAGCCCCCACCCTCACCCAAGCTCCCCCCCACCCCTCCCGCCCCACCCCCCATGACCACCTTGAAGAACACCCTTTCAGGCATGAATAAAGGACGGAATATTTTACCTTTAACTTGGCTACGGCAAGCTGTCTCTCTTTCTCCCTTTCCAGCTGGTCATTCTGTCTTTTGAAGGCAGCCAACAGAGCAGCTTTCTCTGCCTCAAACTGATGATCCAGATTTTCCAGCACATTCTACAAAGATGAAAATACAATTCATATTACAGTATTTTATTATTTTCTGAGCTAATTAAAAATGAAGAAAACCAACACAATAATAACAATTTAAAGATAAAGCTAAACCTTTCCAAGACGACCTCCCACTGTTGAAGGAAAAAGAGTTCTTAGACAAGTAGTCCTCTTGGACAGGGTCATTATAATATATCAAAATTCAATGGGAAAACCTGTTTGTACAGGTGATTGACTTAAATAATAATAGATAGCATTTGTATAGCGCTAATCCCCACTCAACAGCAAGCTCTGTGTGCTTCACAATCTATACTATTACCCCAGCAGACCTGAGAGCATTCTGAAGCAACCTCAACTTCTTGGGAAACATACAGTACAAGTGGCCATTTCTAGGCTCTAAAACACTAACATACTGACAAGATCGTTCGCTGTCTATGGCAGGGTACCCATTCCCACTAGGGTGAAGTGAGAAAAATTTGTGTTAAGTGCCTTTCCTAAGGACACAACGTCCGGCCCGCAGCTTGAACCCCCGAACTCGCAACCTCACGATTACAGGTCCGGTAGCCTAACCACTAGGCCACCAACGCCACAGATCAAGTGGTCGTTAGAGCAGGTTCAGCTGCAGTCCAGTATGATGACAGAAAGAGATAGTGGAAATAGGAACAAAAAGTACCAATTAGAAAGTCCCATTAGGCAGGTTTTTGTATGTGAGGATGTGTGAGGGTCTGTGAGTTATGTGTGTGTGTGTGTGTGTGTGTGTGTGTTCTTGTGTACGTGTATGTGTGTGTGTGTGTGTGTGTGTGTGTGTGTGTGTGTGTGTGTGTGTGTGTGTGTGTGTGTGTGTGTGTGTGTGTGTGTGTGTGTATGCGTGAATATGTGTGTGTCTGTGTCTGTGTGAATGTGTGTGTGTGTTGCTAAGGTCACACCATGTACACCATATACGGCTTAGAGCCTTCTAAGGATTAGGCACAATGTAAACTCACATTGTTATAATCATTATTATACTTAAAACAAAGATCAGGACAGGAAAACATCAGAGAAAATTCTAGAGCAACAACGTACCCTTCTGCGTATCTTCTTATCCTCCTCCTCCACCAGTTCATCCAATGTCTCATCATCAACAGCCAGCCCCTGGGCCTCCCTCTCCTCCTTCAGCTTTCTCCTCAGGGCGAGCTTCTCCTGCATTCGTCTCTTCTGGTCTTCCTCTGTCTCCCCCAACATGCGACGCATCTCTAGAAGATCGCAGAGAGGAAGAACGGATGCTTTTGTGTTACTTTGAGTAATGTGGATACTAATTTGTTCTTCAAAAGCGTACGGCTACATCAAACACAATGTAAAAGGGAGAGTTACAGAAATATCAAAACTCATAAGGTCATTATTTTGTTTATAAGTATTATTATAACTATTATTAGTTTATCAACATCATTTCATATTATTATCATCAATAGTATTATCATTACAATAATTATTGTGATTATCATTGATGCTATTATTATCATTATTGTCATTTCAATATCATTGTCATTATTATATTATGATGATTATTATTATCGTCAAAATCACCATCATTATTATAATCATTCCACAGCCAGTTTTCCTTTCACAACTAAAAAATATATGATTTTTATTATTGTCAGTATTATTATCACAATTATCATTTATCACACCCTCTCCACATTTGATTATTCTCTTTAGCACTCACAGCCCCAAAATTAAAAACATATTGATAGATCAAAGAAATGTTCACAAAATAGGCCAACCTTCATTGTCATCCAAAAACTGTCCCAGCAAAGCAGCCACTTCGTCCATTTTTCCTTCTCTCCTCAGTCTTTTCTCTTTCATCTTGAGCTCCAGAAGTTTCTTCTGTCGTTCCAGCTCGGAAAGTCTGTTCCAGTCACCTTCTCCCATTTCTTTCATAAGAGCCTGGAGTGGATCGACATCATTCATTAACAGCACAATACCCAACAGGAGCTCAAGATTCTGACTTGGAGAAACTAAGATAATCATACAAAATTTGTAATGTTTTTTCTAACACTTAATGTTTTTTAGTATCTCGGGCTGTTTTGCATAATTCATGCAAGCTTAGGATTTATTTGTGTACTAATTCCAAAGTTTTTCAACCAGATTCTATCCCTACAGTGTGTTAGGTACACTATTAATAAATAAATAATGAACTATACACCACTAGGAAACGTTACCTCAGAAATGGCAAAGCAGTACATGTGGTCAGCTTTTGGGTGTAGTTGTGCAGCAAACTAAGCTATTTTACATTCAATTAAATAAAACTTTCTTTACTACATAGTGGTTGAAGGAAGTCACTGAAAGATCTTATTTCTTCTCTTTTCTTGTCTTCTATTGTTGCTGTCTATCAATCTCACTTTTTCTTGCACTTTATCATATCCATGTGCTTCTCTTTATGCAATTAAACAAAACCATACTGAGATTTTTTCAGTAAGATTAAAAGAACACTGAAATCTAAATTCAAAACTGTATTGACACAAATCATACAAACCTCAATAAGTAGTTTGTCTCTCATTGCGTCATACTTCTTCTCTAAGGCTTTCACAACCTTATCATCTTCTTTTTCCTCTTCTGTCTTTTCTTCCTCATCCTCTCCCTTTCCTTCCCCAAATATATCTTCCTCATTGGCGAAGGTAAACAAAATTCCTGCTACGTTGTCATAGCGTTTATCTTCTAGCTGTTTTCTTTGGGAATTCAGAATCTGTTTCTTGTGTTCATTGTCCTGTGAATAAATGAAAATGTGAAACTGAGGACACCATTATACTGTAGGAGGGAAGACATTTGTTAGACTCATCAGGCATGTACGTTAGTACAGAGGCAGAATTAAAAGAGAGAGTTGTTTCTCCCCTTTTGGGCTAATCCTCCATCTCCCCATCAGACAGGACACAATTGTCTCTCCTGGCACTATGCCTCACCCACACATGTCAAACAGGATTCTCTAAAAACAAATTCTAACCTCAGATGTAGCACCAAAAAAAACACAGCTCTGTTTGACTTGATCAGTCAGTTATTCATTACACTAACAGTATACGCTTTATTACTGTTCCCATAACTCAGTAAATCAGACAGGCAAAAAGCATAAGGAGTTTATCCAACACCCCAAAGTTGAAATGACTGCGAAGTCCCCATAGATATTAAAATTATTGAGGCCAAAACAAACAATCCAAAATTTGGGCTGACAGGTTTTTGTCACAATAAAAATTCTGTGAAATAAAAAAAATGAAAAAGATGCAGCAAGGTGAAAGGAAATGATATTAAAAGAAATTATTTCAATTAACTTCAATAACGCAAAATTTATGGATCATAATAATTGTCTAATACATCTTGTATAAAAAAATCTAGATTTCTTGATTTGTCTGCAAAATCTGGAACCCCTGATTAACTCTTTATCTCTGAAGGGGGGGGGGGGGGGACCCACTATGCCGGGCCCTGTTTCGGTACTAAATCTTAAACACAAAAACGTCACTAAATTGATTATAAAATCAAAACAAGTGAACCTAATTTGATAGTTCTTCCTCTAATGAATGAACTTCCGATAAAAGAGACCTGTTTTTGGCAACTGTTGAAAAGTAATTTGATGTCAACGTCGTCATAAAGGAATGGGCCCGAGATGCCGTCAGCGGCTCACCGGCACAGCAGTTCCGACTGCAAGCCGCTGCCAGAGATAAAGAGTTAATGTACTGGACAAAGAGAAATACAACTGACCACAGTAGTAAGAGTTTCCATCATTTGTGCAGCCTCTCCATCTTGCTTCATCTGAAGCTCCGCCAGTAGTGCGACCTTGACATCTTCATCCGAGGCCAGCTCTCCATCTGCTTGCATGTCCCGCTTCTTGACCTCAAGGCTCAGAACTGCCACTTCCTGCACACAATGTAAACACAAATTGGTGCAACATTAGTTCAGTTCGTTTTATGCTGGACTACAGAGTGGATGGCCCGGGCTCGAATCCCAAATGGGTTTTTCTGAACATAGATAGTTTTAATGAGTTTTTAAAGCTCTCCATCCATTTGGCTCTGTCCAATTAAAGATGGACATTAAATTCGGAGGTCATACCTCTTAAATAATTTTAGTGCTGATATTATCACCCCCATTTGACCCTTAAACACTCATAAACCTTCTCTGCTTTCCAAGAAAGCATACAGTGCAAGCTGCCATTTTACTGGAACTAAAACATTAAGTAGGCCCTAATAGAAACTCACAGCTAGTATTTTCTCTCCATCTTCCTTCTCCCCAGAATCTGAATTTCTCCACAATTCGTACAACTCTTGAGCAGCAAGCAGCTTCATCTTGAGCTCATCATCCGTCAGGACACGGACTTCATCTCGCTGCTCAGACTCACTGCCTTCATCTAGAAGCTGAGGACAAAATTAAGATACGATAAGATGAGATAAGATGAAACAAGACAAGAAAAGACAAGACAAGAGTTTAATGATCTCCGCAAAGAGAAATTTGCTGAGGCATAGTAAATACAAATACAAAATTTGTAATGTTTTTTCTAACACTTAATGTTTTTTAGTATCTCGGGCTGTTTTGCATAATTCATGCAAGCTTAGGATTTATTTGTGTA